TAACTTAAATGTAGTCCACCCCCGCAAATTTATATTTTCACATTTTTTTATATTTTGTATGATCCTCTATATTTTGTTGTTCTACTTCTTCCTTTCATAACTTTGCTGCTGTGAATTGGGAATGTCTCCATTGCGAGACTAATAAAGGTTTTCTTATCTTATTTCGCCATTTCGGCGAAAGCACGTATTGGATGTTTGTCAACGTTTTTTTTAAAGAAATTTGGGGGCGTGTCAATTTTTTTTCTTTCAGGTTTTTATGGGTGTGTGTAAAAATTTCACCATAAAAACTTTTTCTTCTTCAATGAATTGAGGTGCCACTCAGATTGTGGTGACGGGCCACATGCCACCAGTTGCCCATCCCTGCACAGAAATTACTATTCAGTCTTAGTTCATGCAATATAATGCACAGGAATGTCAGTAACTTTAATGGTTGGAATATAATCAAACAAACACTAAAAAGGTAATAGAGGTGATATAACAAGTCTATAGACGACTGCTCAAATATAGTTTTGTATGTTGGCAAATACATGCAAAATAATGCACAGGAATGTCAGTAACTTTAATGGTTGAAATATAATCAAACAAACACTAAAAAGGTAATAGAGGTGATATAACAAGTCTATAGACGACTGCTCAAGTGTAGTTTTGTGATATAAAACATGAGACCAACAATCATGATTTTTTTTTTAAATTTGGGGACGTATAACCTGCACAAGTCAATTGAAATTACATTTTCAATTAATACAACTTTTCAAGAGTGTCAGTAATAATAACCTGAGGCAAAGTGGCTGCAAAAGTGTCCACACCCTCTGAACTGGTTATGTGGTTGTGTTCAGAATTAACCAATCACATTGACTTTCATTATAAATGTCAAGTCAGCACACACCTTTCACCATTTAAAGAGCCTCTCATTCAAGTTCATTAATTGTCCTTGGCTTTCCCTGACTTGCTTTTGAGCAAAGGCCTCAGGCTCCTTGCTAACACTGACTTCTAATTGGAACTGTTCATAATTCCCTCCACCAGGACTCAAGGCCCAGTTCCAGCTAAAGAAAAACGGGCTGATACCACAACGCTTCACTGTAGGGATAGTGTTCTTCTGGTGAAGACCAGTGTTGTGTTTGTGCCAAACATGCCTTTTTGTATTATAACCAACTAATTGAGGATTGGTTTCATCGGACCAAAGTTCCCACATGGAATTTTTTCTTTGATCTTGCCACACAAACCGATAACAGCCCTATGAAGGGTGAAAGTCGTTATGTGTTCAAACAACTACCACCCTTGTGCAACCACATGAACTCAGTTTATTTTCACTTCCCTTTTCTCATATTTTGTTATTGTATGTTAAGAAACAACTGTTTTAATATTTTCCTAAAATTACATTTTTGGGGGAGTAACTTTTTTTGTCTACTTCGTTTACTTTCTCTTCCAATAAAATTAGGATTTCTTCCACATACTACTCTTGACTTCCTTTGCATAATATTTACACTTTAATAATTCTGTGTGTTTATTCTCTCATCTTTTCTTTTCAATGTGACCCAAATAATTGCATACATCACAGATTATTTATAGTGCAAAATTTATGGGTCTCATTAAAATGTCAAATTCTAAAAAAAAAAAAAAAGCAGTGCATGATAATAACTCTGAGCATCATGAATGGAGATACGGCAGGACACCGACTTCAGACCAGGCCGACCATGGAGGAGCTGAGGGCCCACAGTCGCTTGGCAACACTATCATCCATTGCTGCTGGAGCAGGAGTCTTGAGGGCACAGTCACTGTTGAGAATACAAGGAGAGGACTACTTACGCAAACAGTAAGTAATCCTTTTTGCCTGCTATGTTACCTTTATAGTGTGTAATTCCGTGTTAAGCAACCACGTGTTTAGAATGAGGATTACATAAAACAGATGTGAACATGGACCTTGGATACCAAAATATAATGCGCAGGCCTATTTTGGAAACCTTAGCAGAAAAATAACTCTTCAAAGATGGATTTTGCATTGATTTAAAATTTCTTTGTATCGCTATTTTTATCACTTGCCTGTAGTAGAGGCCAGTGACATTGGCCAGGCTCTCGTCCACGGCACAGAAGATGGAGGTCTGAGCTCCTTCCCGGGGACTTTTGATCATCATCAGAAAAGGGCAAAGGAGCGGATTCTTCCACAGGGATGTTGGAAACGTGTGGCGGCCCAGCTCGGTACGGACGACGCCGGGATGGAGGCAGTAAGTGTTCACTCCGGTGCCTGATGATGGAAATCCGTCTTTGTTAGACCAAGATAAAAACACTATTTGAGAAAATGGATCAATGGGGATGTTTATTTTAGTGCACCTTTCATCCGGATGGCCAATTCCCGGCAGAAGAGCACATTGGCCAATTTGCTTTGGCGGTAGCTCACAACAGGTTGGTAGTCTAAATCCAAGTGGATGTCTTCAAAGTGGATGCGGCCTGAAAGAAGCAACTCTTATAGTACATTATAAGCAAAGAAACAAGGTACTTTTGGAGAACCACAGCAACTATTATCAAAATCGGCTCATCGTAAGCTCTGTAGAAGCCTGATAACGATCCTGATCATTTAAATCAAGTGTGTCAGAGGAGGGGAAGCTTCTAAAACAGTTTGACAATGACAGTGGCTCTCTAGGAGCAGTGTTGCCTACCCCTGATCCCTCAATTTATCAAGGCCAAATTATATTTTTAGGCGTGGTTGAGCTTTCAGGAAGTCCAGGAAACTTGGGGGTGATGTTTGCAGTGCTGAACTTCACATTCTCCACCAAAAGTAGTGGAACAGTGAGTCCACTTCATTCACATTCATTGTTGACTATAAGCATTTGGGTCTGATATTTAAAAAAAAATAGACAAGAACATCATTTCAACTTTCTCCCCAGGCATCTCCATTTCAACTTTGCCCTCAGGCATCTCAAATGTTTTTTTGTTTTGCTTTGTTTTCTCAATAGAACACTAATTTTGGGGGTGGGTCAGTTAGACTCAAATGATTGGATTGAAAAAACAAATGTACCCTTCTCATGCGCCAAGCTGGAGACAATGACGACTCGACTTGGCGCAGACTTTTTCAGCATGTCAATAAGAAGGTTGGTAAGCAGGAAGTGTCCCAGGTGGTTGACACCGAACTGCATTTCGAAGCCGTCATCCGTCTTCCACTTCGGGCACATCATGAGACCTGGCAAATAAACGGGAAACTTGGAACAGTATTCAATGGAGTGCAGTGTTGTAGGTGATGGTACCACACATTAAGTGAAGCAGGCACCATGATGGGGAAATGAAGTTTCAAATTTGCTTCACGAACCAGTTGATGTGTTTTGGATTCGGGAGTAAGAAAGTCACACCTGCATTGTTAATAAGGATGTCCAAGCGGTCCTCGTTGATTAGAACATCTTTGGCCAAGTCCCTGACTGACTGCAAGGAGGCCAGATCCAGCCTTTTCACCACCACGTTGCTGTTGCCACTCTGCTGGCGGATGTAGTTGGCCGCCATATGGGCTTTGGTCAAGTCCCGACAGGCGAGGATTACTCTGGCCCCTTAAAGAAAAAAGAGGGGTGAAATCAAAAGACACGTAAATTGTCAAGAAGAATCAACAGATGGTCAACACTCACCCCGTCGCGCCAGATCCAGGGCTGTCTCCTTCCCGATGCCTGTGTTGGCACCCGTGATCAGCACTGTTTTCCCATCCAGCCTGGCCTTGCTCCGACACACTCCCCCCGCCATCCACCTGCGCAAGGCCAGCAGGCTTGCCCCTGGAAGAGGGAAAACATGCTGTTAAAGGGTACAGCAATATTTGTAGGCATTTGGACGTTTCATTGTATTTTTATCCAAAATAATCAAAGGTGACTCTTGTTAAAGGAAAATAAAGCAATGATGTGCAAATGATGTCACGACACAGACGGAAGATCAGATCGATTACTGTTCTGATGTCATCCCTTTTAAAAACATCTTCAGCTGTCCGCTTTCTCTACATATGGGCTAACAGAAATTGTTGAAAGCAATGTTGTGTCTTTGTTGTCGTAAAACACAATTTTCCCCATAAGATCACAAATAAAAGTGCAGACGGTGTGGTGTTTTATTGTGTCCACAATGTTTCTCACAGCTCTACATCGCATATGGATAATGCTCTGATGTGCTGTGATGTATCACCTAACAGTGTGCTCTCAGGGGGATCTCTAAAGCAAGGCAATGTGTATTGTAGTTTGTTTTATTTTTTTTTTAAGCTGTTTTTGGTCTTTATCATGCGTCTGCTCGCTTCTAAGCGAGAGACCAGTTATACTCTTAAGTCTGTTTTGCTCCCCCACACTCGCGTTGACTGTCACCATGGAAACGTATTACTACACAATATTAAGCAACAAAAATAATTCCGTTTTACCTGTAACAACTGCAACGGTGAGACCAATGGCGTGCGCCTCAACAAAATCTCTCGCTGCTTCGACGTAGTGTTGCATTTTGATTGTTGTTGTTTTTAAACGAACATACAATTAAACAATTTAAGTAGTGTAACTCATTTACGGTTGAAGAGACGCTCCTTAGCCACACTCCTGAAACGCACTCATCAAATCACTACCTGGGAGACCAAACGCGATATATCTGTAGGAGCTGTAATTTGACGTGACGTGACATTGATACATATTGGCACACGAAGCGGAAATGACGTTTTAAACATCTGTTAGGCGAGAGGCTTTTATTTTTAACAAGTTGCCTTTGGAAGCTAAAAACCCTAGTCCGTTTTTTTGTTTCATTTTTACATGTTAAGAGCAGTCTAGTGAAGCTGAAATGGGACACGGAGGAAAAATACTCCCCGCGGTGCTTTGACTGTCCTTTTATTTATTTAGCTTTATTTCCTTTTCCGGTTTAAACCTAACTTTATTATTCACGATATATATTATTTAAACATCCTATTTAATGTGTAAATATTACTTTGAATCACTATTTCACTAAAGAGAAATATTTGTAAAAAGTTGTATATCGTAACCCGGAAGAGTTGAGCCTCCGTGCCACGTCACGGTTAACCGTCAAGTGGTTGCTGTGAATAATCGCGAAGTTCATGCGTCGCTTGTTACTGTGACAATGCAACAGCTGGTATCGCTGGGCTGTCTGCTCTTCCACGTTTTCGTGGTGTTCGCCACCGAGTTCACGTTTGAGCTCCCCGATAACGATGAACTATGCTTCTACGAAGAGATGGAGAATGGTGACAAGTTTGATTTAGATTACCAAGTAAGTCTTGAAAACTGGATCTAAATCACGAACTGTTTAGCGTGCTAAAGCTGTGTTTCAGCTCCACTTTTTGTTATATTTTATGCACTCATCACTGTATATGCATGGATTTAGGTTGGACTTTAATACAAAAACTTGACCAAACTTGTTTCCATAGTTTTGTGAGATTGTTATCTGGACAGCTGTCAAGCTGGTTGAACCTAACTGATAGGATCAATACAGTGGTACTTGGTTTTTACGACGGAGCGACCAACGTAACGAATGTGTATGTAAGTCGGAACACGTTAAGTACGGTAGTCATAATTATATTCAATATTTGTATGAAAAACAATTAAATACCATAAAAAGTTATTAAAAAACAAATAGGTGGTAAATGAGTGTCCCTTCTTGTGCTGGGTAACCAACCATGCATTGCCGTAGAAAAAGCTAAAACCGCAGTAAAGTCACAATTACGGGACATATTTGGATTTGTAGGCCATAAATATATTCTGTGGGTGGTAACTAAGCTTGTCTTGCTTTTAGTGCATGTTTTGCCATCGTCAAATCACTAACCTAACCCAGTGGTTCTTAACCTTGTTAGAGGTACCGAACCCAACCAGTTCATATGCACATTCACCGATCCTTTCATTAGTGAAAAATAAAAATGTGATTTTTTTTTAATACATTCAAGACATTAAAAAACGCATTTTTTAAAAACTGAAAAAAAAACCTCAATAAAATTTCAAGACGTAAGTATAAATTTTATTTAACTGCACAAAATGAACCAGCCACTGATGCCAAGAGGGTGTGTCATAACTCGTTGACATGTTGCGTCGGGTGTGCCTTAATCTTCATGGCAGAGGCTCCGTCGAACCCCTGAGACTGATTCAATGGAACCCCTAGGTTTCGATCGAACCCAGGTTAAGAACCACTGAACTAACCTAACGCATTAATAAAGACTGTGAACATTTGAATGAAAAACACATTTTAAACAAACAAATGAAAACCAGTTCCTAAGTAAATAGTTTATTACATGCTAACATCAAAACTTTGTTGGTTATACTGTAGCCTGACGCCTTTGTACACATTATGCAATGGTCACTCATAATGGCTTCTGTTTTCTTCTTTTGAAAAGGTGATATCAGGAGGCAACTATGACGTGAACTGTTTTGTGGCGGATGCTAACGATAACATCTTGTACAACGACGAGAAGAAGCAATACGGCAGCTTCTCGCACACCACCACCATGAAGGGTGTCTATAGGGCCTGCTTCAGCAACAAATTTTCCACCTTTTCACACAAATACGTATATCTGGATTTCCGGCACGGTGACGAGAATCTTCTCCTTCCCAGCATGACCAGAGCCACAGCGCTAACTCAGGTAAGACAGTCTCCTGAAGGGGATACTGAAGGGCTAAACCCCCAGAAACAAATGAGCTGAAAGAGGCTTCAGTAAAGGCCTGGAAAAATGAACAATGCAATGGTCTGTTCCAATACCTTTGCTCACTTGAAAAGGGGGTGGCTTCAAACTAAAATTGCTCTGTACTGAGTTGTTTAACACATCTAGATGTACATATTCAGAACTTTTGTTTCATCCATCTTCCTCAATCTGAAACCCAAATGTCGAAAATACACAACAAACATAGGGATTAAGCTTTTGCAATACTTATGGAGTGGACTGTAATTGAAGCACTGGTAATGATACTGAGTAATAATACTTCACAATTCCATTATGTTAACCAAATATAGTTCGAAAACAAAATGTTTCTTGAACATGTCATTGTTAAATCAATTGTGCAGCATCCCCATGAAAATGGTCATCATCATAACAATGTAAATGTTTTTGTAATTTTTTTTTTTTTTTTTTTGTCTTCACAGTTGGAATCAACATGCGTGTCCATCCATGAAATCCTGAAGGTGGTATCGGAGTCGCAGACCTGGTACCGGCTCAGGGAAGCGCATGACCGCATCAGGGCAGACCACATCCACAGCAATGTCACTCTCTGGTCCCTCAGCGAAACGGTCCTGCTGTTTGTCATCGCTGTGGGTCAAGTCATGTTGCTCAAGAGCTTTTTCAGTGAGAAAAAAGGCCCGGTGGCCGTCCCAACTTAGAACACGTTTCCTCCATTGCACCAGGAGTTCAGCATTTTTTCCTCAATGTTTTACAAAAAAATGTTTTTGCTGGAAAGAGATACCACTCAGACTTGCTTTAAATTAGATGCTTGCAGATAGAGAGACGATTTATTGTCCTTTACAGTGCCCTGAAAACGTATTTACCCCCTTCCTGATTTCCGTGTACTTTGCATATTTATCACACTCAAAGATTTCAGTTCATCGAACCAATGTTAATATCGCAGAGACATGTCAAGGAAATACAAAATGCACTTTCTAAATGCCAATTTAATTCATTTAAGCACAAAAAAAAAAATCAAAACCTGCCTGTTCCTATGTGAAAAAGTAAGTTGCCCCCCTCTTGTCAAGTCACAAAGTAACTGACTGACGACAGTTTTGGGAAAGCTGAGTTGAATTTCACAGGCAATACCCTAAAATTTGTTTGATGAACTGAAACCTTTGTATGTGATAATTATGCAAAGAACACAGAAATCTGGAAGGGGCAAATACTATTTCACAGCACTGTACTTATTCATACGACAATTCGGAACGAACCAACTGACTTAATGGTATGTAACTTCGTCAACGGTCAGCTAATATAAGGAGGGGTGGAGTGGCATAAAAAAATCGGCCCTAGTGTTTTGGCTTAGACCAGGCTTGCACGTGTACAAAAGCACGTTCAGCAGGATCAAGCCTAAGGAAAAAGCAACATTTTGTTTGTCTGAATTTATGAGATAATGTCCTTTTATTTGTAATTGGCTAACAGCCAATGACAGTTTTGTATTATTGACCCATTCATTCAAACTGTATCTAAAAAGCACAGTGACACAAAAACAAACAAAAAAAAATCTTCCCAATTCTAAACACCGCTTTTAGGTTTGTTTCTGCGTGTATAATTGATGTGTTGAGTAAGGTTCTGGATATGCATTCCTGCTTGTATTTTGAGCAAGGTTCTGGGTATGTGTGCATTTTATTTCATGACTGTGGATGGTATGATAAACTGAGTTCTCATCCACGTTGTTTGCTAGCTACAATATGAAAATAATGGATTTAATTGATAATGTGTGAATCAAAAGTTCTAGTCTAAAGATCGATTCTTCGAAAAATTGTATTCAGACATGAATCCTAACCATCATTGGCAACGACATAGCACAGCCACTGATGTACAGCGGTTCAGTTTGCTGTCTATATCATAAATGGATTAATTAATGGGCTGTTCCCTCTCAGTTGTGGGCTGAACCTTTGTAGAGAAAATGGAGGAAAATTATGAAATAGCGTTGCATTGGGCCCACAAGACGCCAGCCCTCCAGGCATCTGACCTCTATGCCACATGGCTAGTTCAGCGCTGAAAAGGAGACTCAAGTAGAAACCGATAACTGTCCGTGTTCATCCTAATTTATATGGGAAAAGTTGTTACAAATTTTGAAATTAACATTTCTGCATTGTTTTTATCATTTTCTAGAAGTTTTATTTTACTGTATGTTGGTACCTTTTCCTTTTTTGCATATAGAGAATACAAGCAGTCTTGGTTTCCTACCTCTTCTAAAAATTCTTAATCACTAATGTTACACAAGGGAATCTGTTAAATAGAAATATTTCAAATGAACAATTGTCTCCATGTTAGTAAACGTAAACTTGCTGAAAGTTCTCATTAATAAAAATCTGATTCATGTTCAACAAAAAGGCTGCATTGTTTTTCTGCATCTCACGTTGCCAAAAAAGCGATGAGAGTGGACAGCGGACAGAGTGATTGACAAAACGAAACGTGAGGTCAGGATATATACTTTCCTCAAAAAGTCACCCAGGAGACCAGGCCAGGGCACACAATGCAACTTTTAGCCATTTAGAGATCGGCAAAGCCGATCACGTACTTTCCACGATCACAGTAGGTGCCGATTGATTGGAGCACCACTACTTTCCAGGGTGGCCCTAATTGTTTTGTGAAAATGACAGCATAAAGAGACCGACAAATTTTCACTCATTTTTAAGTGTCTTTTTAAATGAACCTGACTTGCATCTCTTGAGTACGCACGGAGAGCAGATCTGATTTTATCAAGGGCTGTATAGTGGAAGTCATTACTTATACAAATCCTCCAAAAATAAAGGCCAACATATAGGAAGGACAGAAAGACAAGTCATTTCAACTAGTTTTTTTAAAATTTATTTTATTAAATAATCCATAGTCAGTTCCCATGATGTTTCAATTCTTCATTAACTAGTCCAGTGATTCCCAACCACAGTGGCATGGCACACTCCTGTGCCTTGAGACATCATCAGGGGAGCTGCAGCAAGTTGTCAGAAAATTATTTATTAATTACAAATAAATCTATCTATGCCAGTGACATATAGTGACAAGCAGAACAATGAACTGCTCTTGCATTAATTAGATGTCGGAAGGAACAATACACCGTGTATCCAACCGTCCCATTTATACAATAGAATACATCAGGCCTTTCGGCTACTAAATTAGATCTGGGTAAGTAAATTTGTAACAACATTGAGACAACATCGTTATTTCAGTATTAATATGTTTTACAAAATTTTTGATTGGTGCCGTGTCATGAGATTTCTCAAATGTAAAAGGTGTGCCTTGGCTCAATCAAGGTTGGGAAACACTGACCTAGTCTACTGTTGTGGTTTAGTGTGCATATCAAAGCTGACTGACCTGCATGGCAGGACAGGGGGAGCCCACCTCCCCACAACAGAATCGTCAATACAGTATAAGCAAGACTTTCCTCAGTCCACTTTTAACCAACATTTTTTTTAAACATGTACACAATCCACATTTTAGGAGCTTTTTCAATGAAATATGTTTCTGCTGGAACTAAAAGTTAAAAAAAAACAAAAAACAAGTCTGTTGAAAACAGACCCCCTCCCGGAATGGCTCCAAACCGCAGTTTGAACGAAATTTACAGTACAGGAAATCATATTGCCGGAGCTTTTTACAATCTCATTTCCTCCAGCTCAATGAACACCACCTTCTTTCTAACAGAAACAAACTTGCTTCACAAAAACTTCATGTGATGTTTGCTCTATTAGTGAAAAAGTTAAGAAAACAAAACAAATAAAAGGTTAGAATATTCATGTCACTCTCACCTGCATATTTACTTTTTGGGGTGGAGATCTGATTGGTGTATAAAAGGGGAAAAAACAAGGTGCTGAAAGTACTTCACTTCGGTCCCGACACAACAACGATTCCTGGACCTCTCAAAGGTATGAGAGTGGAAGCTCTAACAAAAGAGGAAAAAATGTGGTAAAATGAAAGGGGCAAATTTGGACTGCAGGAAAGGAACTAAAATATTTAGAAAGGAGCGGGGAAGGTTCCAGCGCGGAAAGAAGACTATGACTAGTACTTTGCAGAGGTCCAAGTATCGTTTGGGTGTGGTAAATTTACCTGATTAGGTTCTTTCAGTGCCTACAACTACTTGTTGAAGGTTGAGGCAGAATTGCGTCGACAGAAGTGCGCATAAGAACCGTAATGTTAAGTAAGTGCATTCACACATAAGAATAAGTGTTGACTATGTATTAAACATCTACTACCGGTATATGGCGTGAGTACATAACCGTTTCAGTCCAGACAATGAGGGTTGCTTGTGCATGACATGAATCACATCGAATGTTACTGATGGATGTGGAACTTTTTTTGTTGCTGTTTATTTTTTCTTTTTTTTGTAACAAATCCACACACAACAGACAAGGTTTGAGTCAGTGGCGTCCCAAAAATGAGCAGCTCAAAGTCAAAGTCATTATTAAACCTCGGCCACTACACCCCAGCCATTCACACACACACACGCGCAAGCGCACGCGCACCCTTTTGTCCACTCAGGGTGTGGTGTAGGTGCTGGTGTCTTTGCCAAAGTTGTAGTACTCCTCCATGTCGTCCATGTTGGCTGTGGTCAGCTTGGTGAGGTTTTGCGAGCCATTATTGTCCATGTTGTCGCCTGATGTGAAGCTGAAGTTCTGGTCTTCATACTCTGCCTGGCTCTCCATTTCAGGAAGTACTGCGTAATAGAGAGGGGGAAAAAACAACAACACATTTTGATTGGCAACATAACAAATGGTTGCCCGCTTTATGGAATATTTTGAAAAACATAGAATCAGCACTTAGAATACCACTAAAATCCGCCCACACCGCTGTCGTCACCAATAATTTTCCAAACGTGCAAGTTAAGTCCAGTTTTTAGAGCGGGTTTCAGCGTTCTACTCGACATCACGGACATTTGGAAATCATGATGTCTCGGAATTTTGGCCTGTATGAACCCCATGAAATGCATTTGAGAAATGAGCAAGCTACAGGTGATTTTCTAGGCACATGCATTGGCTTTGCCTTCCATGGGAGCGAGCGTCACCGCCGGCAGAGGGCTAGCATTAGCATCTGGCTTCATTGCGCTCATCTCAAACCGTCGATGACAGCAAAGTAAACTTGAGCCATGGACTAGTCAGTTGAACCCCGTACGTGTCGCTCACCTTGTCCTTCAGGTGACACATCCATGCCGTGCTTGACCTTCATGTGCCTGCTTAGGTTACCCTTCAGATTGAACTTGCTGGTGCAGTAGGGACACTTGAAAGGTTTACTGCCAGCGTGCAGATGCATGTGGCCCAGCAGGTTGTACATTCTGTTGAAAGACTTGCCACACACCTGCAAACAAAGCACAAAAAAATACAAAGATGACTTCATGAGGTACGTTACTGAACTACGACATCTGTCACCCCACCGGCCAGATACTGGCCTTGCATTTGAAGGGTTTGACGGGCAGGTGGACGATCATGTGGGTCTTCAGCGTCTGCTTCTGAATGAAGCTCTTGAAGCACACGTGACATTGGAAGGGTCTCACGCTGTTGTGGATCAGCATGTGTCTCTTCAGGTTGGCCGACAGCGTGAACTCACGTGAGCACACTTCGCACTTGTGTCCTTTCATGCCCTGCAAAAGCCCAGAAAAATTTAGGGGTATAATATCAACGAGCCGGTACATAGACAATACAAAGTCACATTGTGGTTGACTCCTCCATTCTAACTTCAAAAAGCAGGGTGGGCTATTTTTAGGTCCACACTTTAAAATAACTATTTAAGCTTGAGTGAAACGAAATAAAAAGAAGGAAAAAATAAAGAAGCAAGGAAGACTGAAGGAATGAAGAACAGGGTGGTATGAAAGAAAGGACTGAAGGAAATAAGGATATTTGAAAGAAATGAAATAAGGAAGGAAGCAAAGAAGAGAGGAAAGGGTGTATGAAGCGAAGGAAGGATACAGTGAACCCAGCATTAGCACCAGCCTATTTTTCTCTTCCTGAGGAATCTAGCCTCGGTATTTCCCTGAAAACCTCACCAATTCACATTGTTTGTGCCCAAATGGAAATGCCTAAAATGCCACAAGGTGGCGCCAAAACCCAGTCTAAATTGGAAGGGAGGACAGTATGTTGTACTTAAGAGTAAATACGGTTGTTAGTCCAACCGTATATACTGTAAGTCCGTGATCTCAGCGGGCGGCCATTTTACCACTTGCTGTCGCCTGAAAATGACATCACGGTGTAGAAGGGCTCAGCTAGCGAACGTCACATGACCATACTATGAAAACAGGTGAGCCTTGGTTGGTCGTTACCTTATGGGTGAGCGAGTGCTGGCGTAGGTGGTGCAGCTGCACAAACTCCAAGCCACACTGGGAGCAGGTGTAAGGTCTGGGGCTCTGGTGCTTCAGTAGGTGGTTCTGGAGCTGACTGCGGTAGGCAAAGGACTTGTTGCACTCCGTGCACTGGAAGGTGTGGGGCCCCTGGTGGCTGGTCTGGTGGCGTTTGAGGTGGGCGTAGGTGGGGAACTCCAGGCCGCACTGCGAGCATACGTGGCAACGGCCGCGCTCGTGCTTGACCTCGTGTGCCCGCAGTTCGCTGGGGTAGGCGAAGCCGCGGCGGCAGAAGCGGCAGCTGTACGGCTTGACGTCGGTGTGCTGCAGCATGTGGCGCTTCAGGTGACTGGTCTGCGTGAAGCCCTTCTTGCACACGGTGCACTTGTGAGGCCGTGTGCCCTGGTGCGTCAGCAGGTGAGTCTGGAGGTGGCTAGGCTGCTTGAAGAGCTTGCCGCAGTGCGGGCACGCGTGCGGCTTGATGCCGTTGTGACCCAAGATGTGCGTGACCAGGTTGTACTTTGACGTGTACGACTTGTCGCACATGCGGCACTTCCAGCGCTTCAGGCCATCGCCCACGTCCACGCAGTACGACTCGTCGATCTGGATGTTGATGTCCAGGCGGTCCACTCTGCGGCCACCGTGTCGCCTGGGGGGCTGCGGAGCTTGAGGCTGCCCACCTCCACCGCCGCCACTCCCGTCTGTCCACATCATGTTTTGGCTGCCGTCTTCATACTCGGCCCCCATGGCCATTTCCCCCGAGTCGTAGCTGCCCACTTCGCTTGTTTGGAAGTAGCTGCTGATGGCTTCATCTTGCTGGTTGGGCTTCATCATGT